TGTTATCTTTAGGGATCGATTTTTCCAACGTCAGGTAAAACGTCCGTGACTAATTCAGATGTGGTTCTTTTTGATCGCCTATTCAAATAAAACTATCCTAGTGTGGTTTCTGTCAACTGTCAATTTTATTCTACAATAAAAAATTAAGCGATGATGAAAAATCGGTTCTAAATAATGATAAGAAGAAATGTTTACTTCAGTTTCAAGTTTTCTGTATTCAGTGTGCCATAAACCTCTGAGACGCCACTGAAACCAAAAACATCATGTATTAATAACATCTATACTTTTTATGTTACATATCACTAATATTCTCCGAATTTCAACCAACCGAAATAATCTGATCTAAAAGCTATCTTTACTTTATTATTTAAAACAAATTCTGTGTTTACTTCAAAAACTACACTTCTGAATATTGCTAAAACATCGTTTTTCTTTACAATTCTTTAATATAAACATTATCTTTCAGCGCGACACTGTTTTTCATTAGAAGACTTCGTCCGTCACGTGGCGCTACCGTCGCTGCTGAAGGCGTGCGGCAGTGGTGGGAATACTGTGAACGCACCGAACGCTCCCTCGCCTGACACCGGCGCTAGATTGACTTGCCATCTACTACTTAGGCTGTTCAAAACTGTTGATACTCCGCAACCAGGTAAATGTGGTTATGTATACACTACATAACTATATAATAATAATAATAAATCCCTTTATTCTGAATTTTTTACATTAAGAGTTGTTAAAAAAAGGTTACAGTATATCTCTTAATTCAGTGAGCCTTTTAACAAAGGCCTCCTGTAGCTGTCTCCATTGAATTCTGTCGCGGGCTACTCTTCTCCAGTTGGGTCCCGCTGTTAGCCTTAGTTCGTATCGTTCGTATAAACAAGACGAGGAACTCGACTAGTTTCAACCCATGCTACAGGCTCATAATCATGAGCAGCAAACCGAACCCGCGACGCGGCGACTCGCGCTGCTACTCAAACAAGTAAGTAAGTGAGTAAGCCGAAAACATAATAATTAATTATACATATGTGTAGAAAATATGTGTACAACAAGTTTTAATAATAACGCCTGTCTTTACTTACTTACTGTCAAACACCGCGAGGTCACCGATGACCGCAACTTATTGTTCTTTAATTGTGTCTATAATGACGGTACTCAAAGGGTTAAGTAAAATACAATGATATAAGGTTGTTAAATTAAATCGAGTAACAACTTAACGCCAACTCCCAAGTGTTTAAAAAAGGCCAACAGATTTATTTTTCGTTTCGTCAATGTGAAAAATATATCGTCGTATTTTTTTATAATTATAATGTCTATATGAAACATTCTAAAATTAAATACATAAAATGGTTTACTTACGTGACCTATCAGAGAAAGCTCTCCTAATTTCAAGTCATACCAGGAGTCATAGCGTCACATGAGAAAGCCGCATCATGCATTTATTCTCAACTATCTACTCTGACGTCCGTGGATAGTACGGTATCCAAGAAAAAAGTAGCGTCATACGCCCATGGATACTATAGTATCCAAAGCGACGAGTTGTGTTTAATGCCCTCTAGTTTAAAATACGGTCTTGCTTGGTGAGTTTTGACAGATTATCTATACAGTTGAATAAATAGTTCGACGAAAAAAATAGAGATGGCAGTGTAATAAGCTTTGACAAACAAAATATAATTTTTTAAGTTCAGTTGACTCGTTTGACGCGCGTGTTGTGAAGTGTTTTTGTGAGTGCCAACAATTATGTCGTAAGTACTACAGTTTTGTTTTATTTATCTTGCAAGTGTTATACATCAAAATAAACTAGAAGATTTGTGCTTTACGATGATGTATAAATATCACAGTTTTAGCTGATAAATCTAGTCTACTTTTAACTTCAAACGATTGTTGTTTCGAAAAAAATGGCCGGTCGTATGGTGTCGGCTACTTTTAGTTTTGTTTATACATATTTTACATACTTTGCATTACAATAGTATATAAAATATCGAAATACATTTCGTAATAAGCAAAATAATACATTTTTCAAAGAGAAATATACTAAATTCACTGAAGATTCCATAATAATGTCAATGTGTTCCTCAGGTTTTTTGATGTGGACTGTTTGGTATCCACGGACGTTACATGAAACGTGATAAATAAGGTTCGCTATACACGGCAAAATATGTTTGCATTATTTTTGTTTTGCTAGTGGTGGTATAATATTTTGCTTGAGATGATACTAATATTTAATATAAAATGCACTTTTGGGTTTTGTACTAATATTCATCATTTATTTTTCGCTTGGTTTCCGTTGGATATGTATAATGTTCTAATGGTTTTTTTTTGTTTTGAAACATTAATTACATGTTTGTTCGTGTTGATTAATTTCCGCTAAATGTAAAAAAATGCACTTGTGGATTTGACTACCTTTCTTTTTTACTGTTGCCCTTGCACGTGTTGCATGGTCGCATATATTTTAATGCTTCGCCAAATTTTATTTTATTCTTTTAACAATACTAATGTTTTAAATTATTCATGCAGATCACCAAATGAAAGCTTTTATGTTGAGGGAAATGGGGGAACTAGGGGACGTGGGGGAAACAGGGGACGTGGGGGAAACAGGGGACGTGGGGGTCGCGGTGACCATATGGAAGTGTCTACAATGCGACGTCAATCTCTGCATTGAAAATTGTTTTATGGCTTACCATATATAAATGTGTGGAAAGAATAAATTATTATATTATATATTGATTTTTTTATTTGCTTTTTATTTAAATAACCAACTAGAACAAATAAACAACTTCAAAAATACAATTATTGCATAAAACTAATTCATAAAATTATTTAAAATATTTTATTAAAATTACATCGTGTGTGGGAAACCTTAGACGGGCGGCCATATTGCTATTATTTCGCCTTCTCGGACGAGTCAAGGGCGCTCGGGACATCGCGGTAAAATTACGAGGAGTAGTGTTTTGTTTTGATTTAATTAAAATACTTAGAGTTAACCGAATGTAATCGTATATACATCAGAAGAAAGGGTAATAAGTCTAGTTTGTTGTAAAAATATTTTATTGATAAAATATGCAATAGTTGTGCCTTATATTCTAAAAAGGTAGAAATAATTGTGTATTTTTTTTCTGAATTACATGTTTAACCCGGTTTTTTGTATCAAAGATTATAACTTACGATTTAAAAAAATTGTTAAGATTGATCAGTATTCTTCAATCTTTTTTTTGGTATTTTTTTCTTTATTCTAGCCATTACGGTTCAGTAGCTATATAGGTTTTTTGTTACGACGAACTTGCGAGTCGCGCGCGGTTCGGACGCCGCGCGCAGCTGGACGTTAGAGAGATAAACGGTCGCGCGGCCCGGACGTTAGAGTGGCTATAGAAGATAGATAGACTGACTGCCTCTTTGACCGAGTGGTCGCAATTGCGACTGCCGGGCAAAGAGTCTCGGGTTCGATTCCTGGGTTGGGCGAAGTATATATATAGTAAGCATGGAGTCTGGGATTGTGCCCAGTATATGGCAATAGACTCACCCCCTATTACAGTGGACCCATAACATAAATGGTATGTTATGTTATGTTATAAACTTAGAGTTAAAAGTGATTTTCTTGTCCAGGTCTGTACTCAGTATCAACGTCTCCGGGCCCGGGCGGCGCGGCGGCGGGCGTCCGTCTGTCGTGCGACCGTCACCTGCTGGCCGCCGCGCACAAGAACATCGGCGTCGGACCCGTACTAGCCACGCTTAAAGCTATACTCAGTAAGTTATCGTTTAGATTTCAATTGGATATTTTTCTTTCATGATTTACATTTAACTTAATGGAGGCTAACATTATTGTGTTCTCCAGATGACGCTAATGTAGCGTGAGGTGTTATTTATTTATTCAATCACTTTAACTATTAAAAATTGACTGTCCAATGATTTGCCATTAGAAAATTTACTATAGACAAACAGGACCTCAATCTACATTGTTGCCATCTAGTGAGCACAAAATAGATGACGACGACGACGGGCATCTAGGGCGCCCTCTTTGCTGAAATTTCTTGTTGGATTGTCCATTTATATGAAAACAGAAGATTCTCTCTTGAAAGTGATGAAAATATTCTTATCATTATTTTGCTCCTAGTGGTCGGTGATGCAACCGCTCGAGACGGTGGCTCAGCAGGCGGGAAGAAATCGTGTGAACTGTCGCACATACTAGGTACTAGCGACACGGTACCCACAGACGCACAACTAGACCTTATGTCGTAAGTACAAGGTTCAAATTACCACTTTATATTCGAGAGCGCCATGTCATGTGTTTTATAGGTAACTGAGCTTCAAACATGCGAATATATGACTTAAGTCGATGCACTCAGGTCCAAAACTGCTTGTAAGGTAACAAAAGACTTAGACTAAGTATTTTGTTTTCTCCATTGTTCAACGCAAGTCATTCTGGAGTTAAATCCTCCGACTTAGGACATATAATTGCACGTTTATTATATAAAGCACATATCTGGCGTTGTACTAGTAGTAACCATTGAACATCTTGACATGATCCTTGTGTTCAATTTACTCGTTAACACTTGCACAAGTCTTTATCCTGGGTATATAGTACCCATAAAGTGATTTTTACCAAGGATCATGTAACAAAGTATAAATCATAATAAAATAATGATTCGCGATGTTTTTTTTATCCTTAGGATGGTAGATTCAGAGATGAGTGGGGGCCATAGAACTCCTAGGTTTGTTTTTTTGATATTGAGTTACACAGTTGCACATCCTACGACCACGGACTTGGCTTCACTGTGTACTGTTGTACATACTCGTACCATTCTGACATGATGATCTATCATTGGCGTAGCTAGACGAAAGTGTAGGGTCAATATCCTACTTTACTGTTGGATCGGACCAGTATAGCTTTGGTTACTGTGTAATCTGTAGGATCAGCAAACAATTTTTCATTTCTAAGACATAGCTACAACAATGTTTACACAATGCAATAAAAGTACAATTTAAACTGAGGACTGGTCCTTTTTACATCAGTTTTAATAATATACATCAAATATATAGTGAGAGTAATATTAACTTTTAAGTTAAACCTACTTTAACCCGTCGTGTGTCGAAACGTGGATCCACGCGAGACACAATGTATTTTCTATTGTGTCTCAAATACGGACACTCAAGCGGTTAAATGTCAAAATAATCAGTGATTAATCTCACATTAATGTTCCTTCTGTTTTTATCGTGAGACATACTAAATTAACTAAAAATCGCTGGTTACTCACGTGAATATACTGAGAAAAGCTCTACTAGTTTCGAACCACATAGGGGTTCTTCCTCATTACCTTAGCCTATTGAGTAGGCTGCGCGACATCGCCGCGACCGCGCACGCTGCTCATGAGGAATAACCCTTCTGTGGTTCGAATCTCGTAGAGCTTTTTCAGTATAATCACGTGAGTAACCCGCGATTTTTAGTTAATGTTCCTTCTGTGTGTTATTTGTGTTACGAATCAGCTCAAAATGTGTGTAACATTTCTACACCATACAACAAGATACCTAATAATAATTTGGTATAAAAATTCGTAACTTGGTATTGAATTAAATTACCTTCTATAAAAAAGAACTTGTAAAAGTATGATAGCTACGCCAATGTTCACTCGCTTCGCTTCTCTTCATATTGTTTGCTCCTGGCCATCATGCTCTGCAAGGGACGTTTCGATGTGTAGTTGCTTCATCCCTGTCTGTCTATAGAGGACACTATGGTTGTAACGTTGCCCTTACTAATTCTGTACTGTTTACTTATAAATGTTTAAGAAAATTCTCTGATATATTGGTTTTATAACATAAATGGCGATAATCAATATTATTTTGATTAGTACATCTCTGTTTATCGCGTAAAAAAATACAATTTGCTGATTTTGACGATAAATGGGTAATTTTATATGTACTTCGCTGATTACGCCTCTCGAGAGTTAAAATCGTGATGTTTATGTTATGCTTTACGTAAAATCTAGTAATAAAAAATATAATCGGAAATAGCTCACCAAGAATAAATTAAAAAAGCATTCGTAACTGTCTGCAGTATCAATTTTATAAACATTTTCATTCCTATTTTACTTAAAATATTTGTAAGTAAACAGTAGTCCCACCTCACCGGTTGTGTCGTCCACAGGTTCACGTTTGTGTTTAACAATCGACTCTTGTGTTTCACCCTAAATGTGTACAGGTCTTCACAGCGACTCTTTAACTAATCATTTGTTATATGTATTTAGTTTGTAGCTGTCTCTAGCTAATTAATTAGCCCCCCTTTTTTATTTTAAAAGTGTGTTATTTTGCATAGTTTTTCATATATGAGAAACTATCCGTTTGGTTTGAAAGTAGTGTTGACTCGGTATCGATCAAAGATTTCGATAAAATTATGTTTATATGCGAATACACGTAACTCAAAATATAACTATATACATTCACCATAATGTTACGGGCCACCATACCGGCTTTTCGACGAATTTTTGGAGACCCTGTATATTTGAGTCAGTTAATGGGTATACCGAATTAACGATATTATTAATCTATATAACTACAACACTATTTTCAACTATACAATAATACACATCCTTAATTGTAAAAAATGCCTATAAAAAGGTGTCAAGCTTCATGTGAATAAACTAAATCTCACTACATATAACTAATCGGTTTACTTTGGCATTCTATGTTTGGGTTACATGTGTCTATGTACGGTAACCAACAGATCAAGATACTCCAATCTGTCTGTTACATTTTCGACTTTATCTTATACTATTATCTAAAGCGAAAGAGTTTGTTTTTTTGTTTGTTTGTTTTAACGCGCTAATCTCCGTAACTACAAGTCTGATTTGAATAATTCTTTTTGTGTTGGATAGCGCATTTATCGAGGATGGCTATAGGCTATAAAACATCACGCTACGACCAATAGGAGCTGAGCAGAGCGTGTGAAACCGTGCGGAAGTAGCTAGTATCCTATAAAGATAAAGTTGAAAATCTTACTAACAGAAACAGAAAGTGTAAATTGGTCAGCTGGTCAGTACTTGTAACGTTATTGTATGTGAATGGAGAGCCGGTAATGGTTGCAGGGGTAGCGGTGGCGTGGGTTCCACTCTCCTGGACTCCTCGCAGTCACTCTCGTCGCTAGCACGAAGGGTTCTGGCTGAGATATGCTCTGAAGAATGGGTATTACAGAAATGCCTTCAAAACCCTGATGAATTATACCAGCCAGATATGTTGTTGGATCCTATGTTGACTTCAAGACAGGCACAAAGGTATGACGATTTGTTAAATATGTATTTTTGTTAGAGATTATGCTCATAAAGCAATATGAACTTTATTGTTTTACGTCCAGTTTTTGACACTTATTGTGTCAAAATTCTATCTCTAGTAAGCAAATCAACAGATAGATAGGTTATAGAAACTGGACGATAGAATAGAATCGAAAATTGATTGATAGAATTGGGTAATTTGATGTGCATGTTAAATTCATAGTTTATATGGCTTTTCATTGGAAGTCGTGTTCATAGATTGCTCCACATGATCTGCTACCCTGAGTCAGCAAGCCACACTCATCCGGACCTTGACCAGAAGACTATGATTACGAGGCTCTTAGAGGTAACTTATTAATTACTTGTTTCATTAATATCATATAGAAAATTTAGTTCATTCGCACCCAAAGAATTTAGTTTTCGTCCTTGAAGATATTCATGCTTATTTTGCAACAAAACTTTAATATGGACATTTCATTTCATTCATGCTATCTATCTTGATTGATTTCTTATTGATCTTTACTTGACACGAGACTTTGAGTATAGTGTTTTCTTAAGTATGTTTTTTTATTCATTAGTTTTTTTAATTTACTGATTAAACATATTAAACATCATTTACAATATTCTTCATGCACGAACGAGCTTCATTAACCTTCAAAATCCAACTTGTGACTCCCAGACTCGTCCGAGTTTTTATACGTTAACGCGATCGAAAAGTTACCGCTTTTAGCCCTCTGATTGGCTGCTGCAAGTAAACTAACCAATCAGAGGTCTCTGATCCAGTATAAAAAAAGTATCACATTCCTTTTTCTCCCCAGAACCTGGAACAATGGTCGCTACGTATGTCATGGCTGGACTTGCAGCTGATGTTCAAGCAGTTCCCGACCGGGTCGTCTGAGCTGAGCGCGTGGTTGGACACCGTGGCGCGCGCCGTCATCAACGTCTTCCAACAACCCGCGCCACCACCGCCTGATAAAGATAGGTGCGAAAGATAACCTTATTTTAGTAGAAATTGCGTTTGAAAATGTAATCTTATACTCTTATATAAAGCGGAAGAGTTTGCTTTTTGTTTGTTTGTTTGAACGCGCTAATCTCCGGAACTACAAGTCTCATTTGAATAATATATTTTGTGTTGGATAGCGCATTTATCGAGGAAGGCTATAGGCTATAAAACATCACGCTACGACCAATAGGGATCGAGCAGAACGTGTGAAACCGCGCGGAAGTAGCTAGTATCATATATTTCACATACATCCATTTTGCCGCACTTTTGAATAAGCTGGGAATGGAACGCCAGTGACATGAGTCTGGCATACATATAATTTTTTTTTTTTAATTACGTTCATCCATCTCCTAGAGGACATGCTCTTGGATTTATTATCCTACTAATATTATAAATGCGAAAGTTTGTGAGGATGTATGTGAGTGAGTGTGTGAGTGTATGTATGTGTTTGTGTTGATTTTAGGTTAGGTTACATAAAGATATTGGAAGATTGTTGGTCTTGATTAGTTCTAAAAAAAAGTCCGCGAAAATATTATATCTACCTTTTATATGGAAGTCACTATGCTGATATTTAAGTATATTAATTACTAGCTGTACCCACAGCTTCGTCTGCGTTTTCTTACCTTTTCTTCTTTTCCACTCAGTAATAGTGATTAATCAAACTATCAAACTAATTATAATATATTAGGTATTATCCGATAATTGGATTTTCAATGTCCCTCTTTGTTTTATTGTATTTGTATGTTTGAGTGCGAGTATTTGTCATGTCGCTCGTGTTTGTCATATTCGTCGTGTCTGTCGTGTCGCTCGTGTTTGTCGTATTCGTTTTGTCTATCGTCTCGGTCGTGTCGCTCGTGTTTCTCGTAATAGTCATGTCCGTTGTGGAGGTCGCATCGGTCATGTTAGCCCCGTCCGTCGTTGCGGACGTGACTGTCTTATCGTTCGTATCGGTCGTGTCTGTCGTGTCTGTCGAATCCGTCGTATCGGTCGTGTCTGTCGTGTCTGTCGTGTCGTTCGTACTAGTCGTGTCGGACGTATTTATCGCGTTCGCCGTGTCGGTCGTGTTTGTCGTATCTGTCGTGTCGGACGTATTTATCGCGTTCGCCGTGTCGGTCGTGTTTGTCGTATCTGTCGTGTCGGACGTATTTATTGTGTCTGTCGTGTCGGTCGTGTTTGTCATATCTGTCGTGTCGGACGTATTTGTTGTGTCTGTCGTGTCGTTCGTACTTGTCGTGTCGGACGTATTTATCGCGTTCGCCGTGTCGGTCGTGTTTGTCGTATCTGTCGTGTCAGACGTATTTGTTGTGTCTCTCGTGTCGGTCGTGCTTATTGTGTCGGACGTATTTATCGCGTTCGCCGTGTCTGTCGTGTCGGTCGTGTTTGTCGTATCTGTCGTGTCCGTCGTATGTGTCGTGTCAGTCGTATCAGTCGTGTCGGTCGTGTTTGTCGTATTCGTGTCTGTCGTGTCCGTCCTGTCAGTCGTGTTTGTCGTGTCGGTCGTATCGCTCGTGTTTGTCGAATCAGTCGTATCGGTCGTGTCGCTCGCGTTTGTCGTATATAAATTCATTTTGCTATAAATATATTCTGATTACATTTATGGCAGCCGTTCAGCTGTAGAAAATAAGCTTCAGCTGCAAGGACTAATTAAAAAATCCAATTTCTACCAGAAGTCATTATTATACGTGGCTGAAGTCGCGGGAAACAACTGGTAGGTGATATACATATACCTATAAACAAATATACTATTTCAATAGGCTCACCTATTCTTCTTTTTTTCTTATATTTTTACATAAAAATTAAACTGATAAATAGTGGGTGTTACATTGTATAGGTATAAAAGGTTGGCGTTGTGTATTATGTTTGTATTTATTCCGTTATTTCCATGTCACCTAGGAAGCAGTGGTGGGGCTATTAATAATAGTAATATGGTTTGAGATTAACTACTTCGATGATAGAAGTGATGTTATCTTTGTGTGGTCCAGGACGGGCACGGACCGCGGCGTGGTGAGTACGAGCAAGTGGTCGGAGTCAGTGTGGCTGGTGGCGCCGCTCGTGGCCAAGCTGCCCGCCGCTGTACAGGGGCGCGTGCTCAAACAGGCCGGACAGGTAACTACATAATAATAATAATAGTACCTATCTACATTCGAATATATACTTCTAGACTCACCTCTTTCACTCTCATTACTCATTTTTTCAAGAGGTCATCGGTTTCATTTTATTTCTCAAAAAAATATTGCGTCTCTTCAGTTAAAACTTTAAGATTTCCATATTTGATTGATTTTTATATAATTAATATAATAATATGATTGTTTCTCATACCCAAAGATTTAAACTCGATACTTCTATTGAGTATTTTTTTAGGTATTTGTTTTATGTTTTCATAGATTCTGGAGAGTGGTTGGGGCGCGGGATGTAGCGGAAACTGTTCTAGCGGAGGCGGTGGTGGAGGCAGCTCTCACAGAGACTGCAAGAGCCACCAAAGTCCCAGCTATAAAGGGTGAGTCGAAAACACTATTGTTATCAAATCAAGGGTATAAAATCAACCTATAAACAAGCTTTCTGCTGACAACTCCATATACGATTGTCTTGTGTACCTGATTTTTTTTCCTAATAAATCACTCTGATAAGACGCCGATAGGTGGAAGCTATTAGAACGTTGAAAAACGATCTGGACGTGTCGAAGTCAGGCGTCGCTGGGCACATCGTGTGATAACGTATAATTCGCGTCGCGCGACAGTTTTAAGACTAAAGACTAATATCTCCTAGGAAAAACGGGATTATAGTTACTATTTGTATGTTCGTGCGCAGGTCCGCAGGCGGCGGCAGTGGCGGCAAGCGCGGCGTGTCGGGCGGAGCGTGCGGCGGGGGCTGCGGCTGCGGCGCCGCCGCCGCCGTCCGACTGGCCAACGAGCCGCTACTGTCGCTCGTACTCACCTGTCTCCGCCACCAGGACGATCAGAAGGTAAACACTTTTACTGTCTATAACAGTAATATATAATTTCAAACTGGACTTTTTCTCTGATTAATGGCTTTGAAATTCTGAAACATAACAGTATTCCCGTAGACATATCTAGAATTGTGCGGAAAAATCATGTTTTGTAGTTCAACTAGTCCTTGGCTTGAATGAAGTCTGCAACTGACCCTCACATAATAGCCTCATATAAACTCACACCCTGTTACATTATACTTTGTAAATAATGACTATTACTCATACTACATGCACTGCATTCATTTTCGAAGATGAAAAGACAAAGTGATGCATTTTGTTAAAATAAATACGTGACTGAAAATTAATCTCATATCTGAATTTTCTTCCCCTAGGAGAGCCTCCTAAGCTCAATCCACGCTCAGCTCCAACACTACGTGACACACGCATGCGCGGACAGTTGGCAGGACGACGCGGCACCGGACGCTTTACTGCTGCGATTCTCCCTCGCTGGAGGAATGTTCGACGCCATCCGACGATCATACCAACTGACTGCAGACTGGGCCGTACTACTTACACAACTGGTCGCCCACCAACTCATCGATGCTTATAATAACAGGTAACTTGAATGCCAGGAAGCGATTGTTCTTGTTCCGTGTGTGTGTGTGGTTTAGGTGATGGTCCATGGTGGTCAGTTACGTCTTGCATATTGGATTAGTACTGCTGTTATTGTGTGTGTGGTTTCAGTGATGGTGTTCAGTTGTGACTCCAAATTGTATAGTATTGCTGCTTAGCAACGAAATGAATGTTTTATCTACAAAGCTCCTACCTCAAAGTTAATGATGAGAGCTACAAAGTAATGATTTTTTTTTAGAATGTATTACAGCGTTTTAACATACATGCAGCTCACACAATGAGTTCGTAATTAACGTTTTTTGATGCATTTCAAGTATTTGGCAGTTTTCTGTCGTCTGTGCTTCAAAGCACTCTTTAATACACTTGGCGACGCGACGCCTTGTGTACCATTCTGTATCCATAAGCATGTGTTTGACTTTACTCTGCGGGTTTGAAGGTTGCATTTACTATGTGCATGTGCACATCTTCGCGGTATCATTTTCATAGTCATTTTCGGGGGTTAAGGGGTGTAATGTCTGCTGTGTTTGAAGTTTTTCACTTCTGAAGTGATAAATGCTTTTTCGGGAGATTCCTAGTTCCCACATAATATGCATGAAACGCAGGCCTTACCTCGAGTGGAGGAAACAGCCTAAACTGAAAATTGTGACGGAAAAAAGCTTCGTACAGATTGCTAAATGTTTTTATACACGGATCTGTCTATCCTTAACCCCAAATGTTTTATTCCGGCTTGTCCAAAGCCCTGTAACAATAACTTACAATATTATTATCTTAAAGTGCAATCAAGCACAGTCTTCCATGCGACTCCCATCGCATATTCAACCTGTCGAGTTTGGGTCAGAATTCTGTGAGCCGCCGACTATCCAACAGGTTCGCCGGCAACATTGTATGGCCTGACAGACAGTGTATTTACAATAAATTAATATAGTTTGTGTCGCAGCAACCTGTTCTCCACTCTAATCGACATGCTTGCCACTCTGATACACTCCACCCTGGCCGACGGAGGGGACGACAACAATAGGAAACATTACCAGAATCTCATGAAGAAATTGAAGAAGGAAATCGGTGATCGCCACGGTCCGTCCGTGCAGTGCGTGAGGCAACTACTACCTCTCTCCAAGAATACTATCATTGAAGTAAGTGATTTGTTATTATTAGACACTACACACAACGACATTAACAGTTACATTTGTGAAATTAAACAGCTTGCTCACGTAAACTGTTCGAGGAGGCTCGACTAGTTTCAAGTCACAATCGGGGCTCGTCACGCAATTAACTAAATAAATAATTTTTTTATGTTGACGTGTGTACTTACATTTTTTAAACACATTCATTCTGTTTGTAACTAATCCAAATCATGTTCAAAGTTGTCCAATCCATTTGCTGTAAATATAAATGTTCTGCAGGTCATCGCGTGCGAACCCATCGGATGTCTCGTCGACCAGAAAGGGAACAAGATCACTGGATTCGATAGTGATAAGAAACAGGTAGGATCATTATTCATTGCATTATAATAATATTAAAATGAATTATACCTGTATGTACAATTGTACACGCAAGTGAAATGGTGAACCACTGGAGAGATACAAATCTACCTTACCTACCTTAATCTCCACGTTTGGCAGACGGGCTGGCGATCAATATCAATAATTATATCAAAATATTGGTTTCAGGGTCTCCGTCTGACGGACAAGCAGCGCGTGTCGAGCTGGGAGCTGGTGGAAGGGGGGCGGAACCCCGCGCCACTGTCCTGGGCCTGGTTCGCCGCCACCAAGATCGAGAGGAAGCCACTCACTTATGAAAATGCTCACAGGTATAATGAAGAACTTTATTGTTGTTTTTTCTTTGAACAATTTTCATCAGTTATTTGATTTTATCAGTTCCATTATACTATAACCAAATAACTGATGGATTACAAACTTTGTCAGGTTACAGAATTCAGATTTCAGACTTACTGAATATTTTTAAATTATATCCAATAATACTTTGTAACGCATAGGACTAACACATACAATCGACACTGCAGTTATTCATTGAATATAATTTCTTTCCAGACTCTTGAAGTATCACACTCACAGCCTGGTGAAGCCGCTGAGTTACTATCTAGAGCCCTTGCCGCTGCCGCCTGAAGATCTTGAAACAAATGATAGCAAACAGGTCAGTCACTAACTATTCGCCATAGTTGCACAATGATTATAATACCACTGAAATGCATAGAAACAATTTAAAATCTACTTCGTACAAAAATGTATTCAATTCATCAAGTTTTGTAATGCCTTTCTAGGATAATGGTAGTCTAGATTCGAGTCCGACTGGCGCCGGGAAGGCGAGGTCACGCAACGCTCCGTGCAAGAATATCAAGAAATCCAAACCTACTACGCCGGTAACTACACAATATTTATTGAAATCTGTACTTTGAAAAATCCTGTTATTTTGTACGGGACAAGGCACCAACTGTCATCATAACACAACACCAAAGAATTTACAAGTTGCTAGACTGTTGAGGGGAATCTGTTGTTACTTTATGCCGTCTTTTTTAGATTTGTAAACAATCGTACATTCGTAGTCGCACATCGTTGTTTTTTGCAAGGCGTTGATTAGTAATCGCTTGATTTTCTTAACACGTTAAATGCCATGGGGGGTCACCGGTGACCGGCGTTAGCGGAGGATTTACTTTCAACAGTTTTTTATTGGCAGTCAAAGTCTTAATAATAAATATTATTACAGACAAACGGAGTGGGCGCGACGGGCGCGGCGGGCGGCGGCGTGGCCCCCGCGCCGGCGCAGCAGCCACAGTTCATGCAACAACAACAACAGTGGTTCCCGCCGCCGGGCCCGGGACAGAACTACTACAACCCACCTGGTAATTTATACATATATTCGTATATTATCTACGTTCGTGCAAATTTCTCTACTCCTATGCCAAAAATGGTCTATCCAACACGTAAATGAAGTCGGTAAATTTATTCAAACCAATAGGTTTGAATATTTTTCATCTTTTAATCATATCACTTTTAATTTTTCAGTCTAAATACCATTATATTTAATGACGTAATAAATGATGTCCAGCCCTGACGTTTTCATTAACGCAACATCGTTCTATTAAGTATTCAATGTAAAAACGACTATAGAGCCATTATTTACACTCTTTAAAAAAAAATATGGAAATTACTTAACATGTAATATTTTTAGCTGGCGTCAGTCCCCGCAGTGTGTCCGCGGCGCCGCCATCCAACAACCAGTCCAAGCAGGCACTCAGTAACATGCTACGACAGCGAGTGCCATTCAACCAAATGACGCAGATGCAGGTACGATACTCAAGATTTTTGTTTAAAATACGAATAAAAAGTTACTTTTTAATAAAATCTACCCCTTCTATGTGGAGGATTTATTTTGGGCAGAATTTAATTGATAGTCTCTTATATACAATACGGTATTTTACAATTAATCAAATTCAATACTTTTATCGAAATGTCAAAAACGATATTTTTCTATGAATTTTGTACCAAAAACTAACTTATGACGTCATCATATTTTCGAGTCAAATAGCACACACTTATTTCTGAAAAAATTGCTAGAATAAATCGAAAATTAAGCATATTGTCAAATATGTGAATGAAATTTTAAAAATTGAAAAATCAAAATAATTTATTTTTGACCCAGGAAAATACCCAATTACAGATAAATGCAATAGTAAAAGGCTAAAGGTAGAATCATAACAAAGAGGTTAGGTATGTGCATACTTCGTAGAGACACATTAATTTATATATTTTTGTTTGTACAGCAAAGCGGTGGCTACCCAGGCGCCCCCCACGCGCGCGCTCCGTTCCCGCGACAGACCATGCGACAGTTGCAACCCAACCAGATGGGAGCCATGCAGTCCGCGTAAGTATAATACCATCCATCATCATCATCTTCCTACCCCCTGCCACAAGTCACACACAACAGACGTCATCATTTTTCTCTCTTATAGTTACGGGTCGTGTGTAAAACAAACTATTTTGTTTTCTTCGCTCGTCCTTTCCTTCCACTTATGGACTACTTACGGATAAAGCTACGTGCTTTTCTAAATTAGGCAGAGCAGAATATTAAAAATGTTAAATTTTTTTTTTTTCAAAATTTCCAGTCAAATGAATCCAATGGGTGGAATGGGCGGTATGGGTCCAATGGGGCAAATGGGTGGAGTACAAATGCCGGGTCAGATGGGCGGTGGGCAGATGGCAGCCGGACAGATGAGCGCGGGACAGATGGGCGCCGGACAGATGGCGGGCGGGCAGATGGGGGGCATGGGAGGACAAATGTTTGGTGGACAGTACGGTGGTATGCAACAGGGTTATGGAGGGTATGGACAGCAGATGATGCAGGGTGGACAACAGCAAATGATGAATCAGGTATGTTGAATAACTAGCCTAAAAATCGTCTTTGTGTGAACATCATAGTATGCTAGATATAGCTTTATAACACCTTTCATCTTTCAGGGTATGGGCCAAAGCGTGAATCAAATGGGCCAACAAGTCAACCCTATGAGTCAAGGAGTCAACTCCATCGGTCAGAACGTAGGTCAAATGAACCAGGGCGTCGGTCAGCCAACACAGATGCCTCAGTCTATGAGCCAGATGAGTCAAAGTATGGGACAAATGGGCCAGCCTATGGGACAGATGGGACAAATGGGACAGGGTGGCGGTATGTCCGCTATGAACAGCCAAGGCGGGTCTATGGGACCGCAAGGTGGCAACTCCATGGGTGGATTCCCTGGACAACAAACATTCCAACAGGTACTTATTTTGTCACTATTATTCACTACTATTACACTATTATTATTTATATATTAAGTGTTAAGCATGCTCAGTATTAATGAGAAATTCATAGTCAAAGGTACATATTTCCAATTTTAACAACTTTTTGTTTGTAGAACATGATGGGTGGCCGCACAAGTCAAGAAGCATACCTGGCGCAACAGAGACAGAGTGCTCGACCGCCTTACATGCAGGTTAGTACAATACAATAATAAAATTTAACGAATACTGAATTATATTGTTCCGACATATAAGTGCTTCTTGTATTTTAACTGTCGAGAGACATGTTCAAATTATAATAATAGTTATTACAAGTTCCTCACTGTTTGCTGACGTAACTAGACTAGCTTCTATCTACGCTAGAGGCTCATAGACATTGCGCAACACGAACATGACTCTGGGCAAACAGTATAATTAGTAACAAAATTAATATAAATATATAGATCATATAAAAAAATTCTTACAATATACTTGTATTTTAACAGCAAGCGCCGAACGTAACAATGGGCGGTATGGGCGGTCCTGCCCCGCCATATCCACGCGGCATGCAGAGCCAACAGAACACACAGTACCAACAAATGAACCAACAACGCATGCGCCAACAGATGCTCGCCATGCAACAACAACAACAACAACAAGGGCCTCTCGTCCAGCATCTGCAGAGACAACAATACCAGCCCCCCTACTAGTCTACTGAACACCCAGATTATCAATTCTATCTTTCACTTAGGAATAGGAACATCAACCAATTGTAATGAAATCTATAAGCCTCGTGTTACACTTACTTATGAAGTAAGTTCTAAATTCGTTCTCTAAAATAATTTATTCTTCTCTAAACTTTGAGTCTGCCCTCGTTTATCTGTGGCTTTCACTTGCCGAATACTTTTTGTTTACAGAAATCAGTAGATTTCTACTTTTTACATATTGTCAGTTCTGTTCTGACGTCACAATATATCGTCGAGGCGGTCCTATTCTTATTTGAAACGCAAAGTACCAAATATTCATCTAAAGTTATACTAGTGGGGATTATACCAAGACTATACATGTATATTTATTTTATAATAAGTTATAAACATTATCCATGTTGTATAAAATATTTGTGTAGGTAAGTGTACCCATACCAGGATTCTTTTTAACAGTTGGTTTGGAATTGTAAACAGTGTTACAATCTTTGTAACGGTTAAGTTACCTAATTTATTAAATGTAACATCTGTAGTCTTGATCTAAAGATATGTAGCAGTATTTTTCACTATTGAACATCAATGTGACGGCCTTTGCATGTGACATTTTTGAACACCTATGCTTTTGTCACACTATCTTCACTTTTGTATCTAAATGCATAGGTGCGAGAATTATGTGCATGCCTCCTAATACCGCGTTAAAAAACGTCATATGAAAAGGCCGTCAAGTACTGTATTCTGAACTGTCTGACTGTTGGACAAATAAGGACCAAATACATAAGGGTTTGTTGTAATTTCATTGAAAGTCTTAGCCCGAATTCCTAAAACGTAAAGTCGAAAATTGCATGTTTTTAGTCATCATTTTTCTAAGATTTTGTAGTTGGTGGACCAAAAATAAAAGTGGCAACCAATCACAGCATTTAACGTAAGAATCGACAAATAAATTGTTTTCAAAAAAAATATCTTATTCAGATCTCTTTTACAATTGTAAAGAATGAAGTAATTCCAAGTATCTGGCATGTCTGTACATTCAAACCAACTAGAAATGTGATATGCCGTCCATACACGATAATGGAAACGGCAAAAAGTAAAATTTATATTGTTAGGCTATTGGCTAACTACTAGAGCTACACTATAGTTATCAGATACAAGCTTCTTCGTATTTATTAGTGTTAGACATCCGAAATTGATTTAACACTGCAGCTTACTCTAATAACTGTACGCTGTACAGTTACGGGAGGAGGAATTGTTGAGAAATTATAGATGTAGTCATTACCAGTAAAGTCTATGTAATATTATAACGCCCGTGCATGATTATAGTGGCATCACTATATAATCTATGCAAATAAAATAATTTAAGTAGACACATTTTGATTTCACCAAAGAAATTGCGTAAAAAACATTCATTTACTTTACTTTTCTGAAACTAAAGTGTAGTTCTATAACTTCTAGCATAATAAATACATATTTTCATAGACGAACACAGGACGAGTATGACGAGAAACGTTTTAATATTTTATGAATTATATCAATCGAATTATAGGAAACAATACAATTGTATTTATTTTTTATTAATTATAATTGAATGGTCTTAATTTATGAGTTCCTAAGTTTGTTATTATATTTTTTTAATATTTGTCCGTACGGAATCGGGTTTTGTATAATTTAATCAAGGATCTATGATTATGTATGCTACTAAGAAAATTGGATGTACCTTTTTTACTACATTCTAGTACAATTATATCAACTCACAACCATGAGTTGATGTGTAAATAATTTGTCATTTATGTTACTTATTATAAGGATAATTTAGATGATAATCTTTGTTTTATTTCAAAATGATGAACTTTCCTTGACTAAATCAACACCAGTGTTCTGATTTCTGATGTATCTTTGCTGACAACAAAAGCGTTTGCGCTAAAGGCTGCGAGACTTACGACAGTGGTGTCCTAATGAATTGGGGCCTATAAGATGAGTGAGTAGCTGCGTACTACTACAGCAGAATCACCGTACTGCGTGTCATTGAACGACGTAAACTCGACTATAGAGAGCTTAATTTATGTAACTGAAGCGTTTTGTATGAAACGAAACGCTGAGAGAGCGCTGTTTTGTTTACATGTCAATGTCAGCTGTCTGTCATTTTTCAAATGTGTTTGGTTATGTTGTGATAAACTCGCAATTTTTACTAACATTTTGATAAAATGTTTAATTATATTAAGGTTTCTAGAAACAGCATTATAAAATCTTTTATAAACGGACACAGCTGTGAATGTATAACTAGAAATATACATAATGTCGGTCTGAATGATATACCCAAGATCACAACAACAGATATTCGTAAATTATTACGACAAAAAGGTTTAGCTGTGCAGGATGGATTCACGGCACTTACTACCAAATGTTCTATATGCTCTGGAGACCAGAAATGTGGAGATAGTAAAGTATATGTCAACAAAACTACTGGTTCGTAAAATTGTAAACATAACCTAAAAAAACATAAAAAAGTCCAATAATACAAAGTGTTAACAGCTGCACAAATACTTACAGTACCTAAATTGTTCTTAAATTTAAATGTTCTTGCATTTTTTTCCGCAGTAATGCATCAACACTTCTCATCCTCCATGCATTAAAGAAAACTAATCTCTCTGTTTTCCCAAAAAAACCAGCTCAATATTTTTATGACGGAAGAAAGTATTTATTTCAAAAATATTTTTCAGGCTACTTTGTTTGTCCTAAATGCAATGTGCATGGGGACTGGAATATACTAGAGAGACTTATCAAAAAAGCAAAAATTGAAGCAACAGTTAAAGATTTCATAGAAAAATGTCAAAAACAATCTGAAGAATTTCAAAATGATTGGAATAAAGTTATCAAAGACACAGTATCTTTATCACAATTGAGTGAAACAGAATTACTTGATCTATTTAGATTATTTGAATTCCCAGTAAGTATTGTTTATCTTCAAGATCACATTCATGATGCTTAGATTCCATGTTATTATACAACACATCAACTATTTAGTCTTTTTACGTTCTTGTTACACCTTCTTGTTCTATCTAATCTTTACAAATATTTAAAACCTAAGTCATGTTCAATATATTATTCAACTATGCTTGTACTACTTAGTATTTCTGACTTCCTTGTGTTGTAAGATTAACTGATTAATTAAAAGGCATGTTAATGTGTTAAACATGTTTTCCATGCATTTCCTATGTACAAATTATATAACAAATATGTTTTAAGGATGTATGAATTGTTTTAAAGATATAAAGTTGAAGAGTAAGTTTGTTTCAATGCGATTGAAACAAACTTACTCAGAACTCAGAAAGTACTGGTCCAATTAGCAAAAAAATATGTAATTAAAATTCTTTTATTCCAGTTCCATCCTGAAGCCAATAAAGTATTATCAGAAGTGAGAGTATCATCTGACCATACAGTATTGTATTTCCCTTTAAAAAACTCCCTGGATCATGTGGTAGGCTACCGGAAGGTTCAAGCTGGAAGGGAGGATGAGACTGAGACGCATGGACTACATACTGCAGGATTATTCTCATGTAGAGTGCCGAAGGTTAGCCGTAGCGACCAAGCAATACTCGTACCTACAATACAAGATGTGCTACATTTAGCTGCACAAAAAATTCCTGGTAAATATATTTTTGTTGTTTTCTCATGACACTCTTGATTTTTTATGAGACAGGGTTGTAAACAAACCGACATATCACCCAATAGTAAGCAATTAGCCAATAGACACTGACAACACCACAAAAGCTTCAAGCTGGCTACAGCTACAGCCGACTCGGTTTGGGATTGGAAATCAGATGAGGGAGAGAAGGATCAGGCCTCCGGTAACCGTACTCATTGCGGCGAAACTCGAGATATAATTATTTATTTCGGTATTCTAGGAGCTCTAGTCTGGCTGAGTAACTGTAGCCTACCGCCCATCGTGCTGCCCACTCTAGAGGCGTACCAAAAGCTTTGCCTTTGGGGAGACTGGGACAACATGCGTGCCGTCGCAGAGAAACTTGGCGAAGAAAGATGTCGATTTGTCAGGTTAATCTTTTTATTGATTTTTTGCATCTAAGCACCACAGCGTCTATTACCTACCTACACGCCCTAACATAGTCCTTGGTTCCACCACCGCGGAGTAGCGACTCCAGACAACTGGTCTTGGTCTCAAACTACTATAATTTATCCTATATTTTTTCCTGACATGTTTGTGACATGAAAAATTTAAATATTTATTTAACATTTACAGGCCAACAGATGGTCTAGTGACGGCCTCAGAAGCAGCTGCAGCGGACCTCCCACTTAAGTCCTTAGTAGCTGAAGCAAAACCTGCTGCACATCGGTCCATCACGACATTTGCAGCACTGAGAGACGACGTGTACTTCGAAGTCACCAATGTCGACCGGGTAAGTTTTAACCCGTAAGCGTACCCGCAAGCGGTCACCGGTGACCGCTCTCCACTAATAAACACAATTAAAGACCTTATTTCCAATGTTTAGAGACTACTTTTGTATGAACAAATTTAGGGGATGATTTTCAACAATTTGCATAAACTTAATAAGAAGTATTTATATAGGCACTAAAATTTTTTGCTCAGTGTTTGGAAGGAAGTGCAAACCAAGCTGAAAATGAATCCCTTCAAGTGATCGGATCTTTACGTAATTGTAAAGTACCTACAGTAAGGTACATTTTTGCCTGTAATGGCAACTGAATCGTTCATAATAACACTACTTATGAACATCTGTGTGCTCACATAACGTTCTTGTCAATATTTAATCAGGTGCGCGGAATAAAATGGCGTCGATTTCCTGCGCTAACTCGGCTACTAGGTGGTCACCGGCGCGGAGAGCTCACCGTGCTCACAGGACCCACTGGCTGCGGTAAAACTACGCTATGTGCCGAAATATCATTGGATTTGGCGCAACAAGGGGTAAGATTTTTTTGAGACATACAGATTGATGGTAAGTGTTGAGCGCCATCTGTAGGTACTCGCAACACCAGATGATAAGTCACAGCTGCGTTAGGTACCGGCCTTTGTAGAGAACAGGTCGGTCCTCCTCACTCACACGGCGAAACATTACGAAAACGTTGTATCACGCCGGTTCCGTATTCTGTGAGGCCGTGATATTCAATTTGGTGAAGCCTCATTTAATTCTATTTGTTTTTTTATAATCGACGATATTTTTAATCTTCTTCACATATTTTTACATCACTTTGTTTCACAGGTAAATACTCTATGGGGCAGTTTCGAGATCCGCAACTCTCGGTTGGCTCGCACGATGCTGCAGCAGTTCGCTGGAGTGCCTTTAGAGCAGAACCTGCAGGACTTCAACAAGTTTGCCGATGACTTCCAGAAACTACCCATCTATTACTTGGCCTTTCATGGTCAGCAACCTATCAAAGTTGTTATGGAGGTATGATAGTGAGGCCATTTCTGTACCTACTAGATACAAAACTGAAATGTAAATAGGTACATATACGCACTAATAAGAATGTAGAACGTTCTTTAGATTCTCTAAATCCATAATACGTACTTTTATGGTACCTAAGCCTCGAAGTTCTAAGTACTATATTTAATACAAAATTATCACCAGTTTATAAGTCACCAGATAAAATTTCGGAAATGATTTCCGAAACCATTCGTTTGACAGTCGCAACTCGCAATGCACCTCCACCGCGATAGCTTCAATCATCTTGTCAATTTTTATCTCAATCCATCTGAAAGTCAAACACTCATGAACGGTCTCTTAAAACTACTCTGTTTGTTCCCAGGCAGTAGAACACGCGCGGTACATGCACGACATAGCTCACGTGGTGGTGGACAACGTGCAGTTCATGCTGGGGCTGGGCGAGGAGAGGGAAGGAGACAGGTACCACCGGCAGGACGCCGTCATCGCAGCATTCCGCACCTTCGCCACCGCTAGGCATTGCCATGTTACACTCGTCATGCATCCTAGGAAGGTAATCTACTTTATTTAACATTTTACTCATCTATGAATGATACAATGTCGTAGTTCACTGTGCAGTCGCGGAGAACCTAACGGGTTACCGGGGTCCGGCTCGAAGTGCAGGAGTAGGAACGAGATGGTTTTTACTTAGTAAGAGTGAGTCTGACACTGAGATGGGAGAAGGCATTTGATGATATTCCCCCTTAAAAAAAAGTTCACTGCAGAGATGAAAGGCGTAGTTAGTTACATGTAGTGTTGTATTATTAGTTTGTCGTATAGCGTTTTCAAATACCTACGAAAACGTAGACAATATACTATTAGGCGTTTGTAATTCATTATCTTTATTACCTTTTTATTTGCAGGAACGTGAGTCGGAGGACTTGTCAACAAGTTCTATATTTGGCAGCGCGAAAGCATCACAGGAAGCTGATAATGTTCTCATAATTCAGGTAAATATACATTATGCGTACCTATTATTACGTATATTTACATTAACCCGTCATCATAATGAATGAATGTATGTAGTATGAATGAAAATTAAATAATGAAACTTTTCCTTACAGGATAAACGGCTAACAGCAGTTCGCGGCAAAAAGTACCTCCAAGTAGCCAAGAATCGTTATAGTGGGGAGCTTGGTATTGTTCCCCTTGACTTTGACAAAGATGCGCTCAGCTATCAAGCCAAGAAGAAAACCAAAAACAAACAGGATGAACCCGACAAACTATTGAACCAATGCATCAAAGAATACACAGTAGATGACCCCAAATATATCGAAAATTTCGAGGACAAGAGACCAAGCGTTGATTACTCAAGAAAATTACAAAATACCCGTCACAAAGACCAAACCAGTAGTTATTTAAGTGATATTTTGTATACAAAAAGATAGTTTGTAAGAACAAAACTGTTACCTGTACAAATGTAAATAAAACAGTTTTATGTAATTTGTGTTTAATTGAATTTTATACCTCCGGTCGATAAAACATCCTACGTAGATAAGAACAAAAACTCAAATATTCATCATGATCAAGTAAGTTTTGCTCTCCAGTGGTAATTAGTAGGAAGAGAGAACTTTAACAAAAGGCCGACGGTGGTGGAAGGAGCAGCGGTAGGCGGTGATTCTCCAATTTTTTTTTTGACTCATTGAGTAAAGTTATATCTTCTATACTTTTTCTGGCTGACGGACAGAGAAGTTACTAATATCTCAAAAATTAGAGGTCCGTGTTAAAGAATAAGGAAAAGTTCACCACCCCTAGACCCCCCCCCCCAGAAAAACATTTTCGACTGCACGGTTGACGCAGGGAATGACCAACTGGCTATTGCACAACGTGTAGCGAGTTAGATTCCCGCACGAAACAAATCTGTGTGTGCCACAGATTGTAGTCCCGGGTCTGGATGTCATGTGTATGTGAACTTGTATGTTTGTAACCGCACCCACGACACGGGAGCAAATCCTAATAACATAACATAACATAACATCACGCCTTTTATCCCCGAAGGGGTAGGCAGAGGTGCACATTATACCACTGTGCAATGTAACACCCACTTTTCACTATTTATGTTATGAGTCCCATGTAATAGGGGGTGAGCCTATTGCCATATAGCGGGCACAATTCCAGACTCCGTGTTACTACTGAGATTTTTAAACCCATTAATACTTTGCCCGACCCGGGAATCGAACCCGAGACCCCTTGCCCGACAGTCGCGCTTGCGACCACTCGGCCAACGAGTCCAAAAATCCTAGTGTGGGGCATAATTTTCTACAGAAAAAAACGATAACCGATAATGGTAATGAACTTGGCCAGGAACGGACCACACATTACATAGCAGCCAGCTTGAACAGCCACCAACAGTGCAGTCAGTCAATATGATAGATAGTACGTTACTTAAATTGTAGTGAAGTAAAATTATTATCCGGTCTGTATTTCTACATTTGATATCATTATCATGATTAAACCTATCTAGACACACAGATCAGTATTTTTAAAAGTAGGTCGTATTCAGATAGGTATAATTGCTATTTTCTTTCCTTATGATTATTATAATTATTAGGTACATATATTAGGTCGTCGTTTATATACCTAGGTGCATCAACATATCGAACATACGCTGCGCTCGCTATCACCAATATTGCAAACAATGGGTCTTCTGTTTGTTTAGGTTCATATAAGAAACAATAGGTACAAATGTTGAAATAATATAGAAACATGTTTTCGTATTTCATTTATTGACATCAGCTGTGCGCTACAGTCTATCGTATCACCAGTAATGATATGACAATATTTGCTATGAAAAATATATTACACAGATAATAATGGTTTTAGGACGGCAATAAATATAATAATTTAACCATCTCCGGATATTTGAAACACATTAATAAATAATGTTGATACATGAATGCAGATAGGTCTAGATATAACCAATCTAGATCACATTAGCATATTCATATGACAATATTTCGAACCCACTCAAGTACTAGTGATTTAGCTTAAACTGACAATATTACATGATATTATTATAATAATAATATAATCACTTAAATACATAAACATTCATAAGAAAATATTCCATGAGCTACCAAAGTAAAATGTTTATTTCATACTTACAGCAAACGATATACTATAAAATAATTCTACTCAAAATGATAATAATTGTTTGTTATATTATAATTAATATAACTGTTTTTCTACAGCAACATCTTTCTTTAGTTAATATAATAATTATACAATACACTTTGTTTAAATAACAATATAATTAGCCCAAACAAACTAGATTAATTCAAGTCCACTTTTATCAGTTAGGTCAATATTGATATCAAATCAACACATCTATCTTGTATGTAGGTCAAAAAGTATTCTTACTACAACATATTTTATATAACTTTTCAGATTTTCTACTGTTTATAAAAATATAATCTACAATGCAACTTATACATGTAAAATAGATTCATCTAGTTATTCATATCACATTTCATTAACATCTGTTATAAATGTCTGCTTTGTTCGCACACTGCTAGTATTTTAGTCAAAAGTAGAGAGTATTTAGTAACTCTCTCTCGCTTCGATTTTGGGACAGAAGCGAGAGGGATATACTTAACACTTGCTGCTCAACTAAAATACTAGCATAAGCATTAATGACAAGCCAAATTGTTGCGTCATTTAAATATTTACTACATTAGAGGAGCTATTACTGCATAAATATATATTATTGTTTGTTGTTACCTTTGTGTATATTTTACTAGGAAATATTTTTAAATACAATGTATTATTTTATGACCTTAAAACTATTTATTATAATTATTATATTTGGTTATGGTATAGGCATGTACTCAAATATATTATTTGAGAGTTTCTCTTTCTGTGTTTGTACATCTGTTGTAATTTAATCCTGTCCTGTATTAAGACTTACAATATGGTATAAGTATTATGGATATCAGTTAATAAGTATACAATAATCCAAATGTAAATCAAATAAAATGCAAATTTTGTACAGAATATAATATTTAAAATATAGCAGGAAACTGTTATTTAATGAATTGAGCCTGTACAGCCTGTATCAATGATGCCTCATTTGTACGATTCTGCCTTCTTTTACATTTGGGACAAGGTATGCTGGCATTAAGACATTTAGCATGAAACACGCTCGAGCACTCATCGCAGCGATAGGTTGTGCTTGTTTCAAAAGGATAAAGTATTTTAGGGTCGCGACATACTTCGCAAATAAAGCCTTTTTGGCTACATAACCAACATTCCAATACATGAGTTCTAGCAAAACCTACCACCTTCTCCAACTGCAGTGCTAAGGAACCATTAGGTATGAGAGCCAGGTCTGATATAGTGTACAAATGTAGATGCTCATACAAATACTCTCTAGGCCACACACGTTTTTGTAACTCTTCAATGACAGGCTCTCTACAGTTAAATATGTATGCTCTCAAGAAATTTAGTTGAATCCTCAGTTCCTGCAAGTGAGCCATATCGGATACTCCATTATAAATTTTTGGGTTCAGTTTTTTCATATCTATCCAAGGGTGATGTTGAAATTCTAACAAAAAGAGAGCAGACTTCCTAGAGACTGGGTATCTTTTGAAATCCCAGTTGTGTATGACTCTTGCTGGAATAATGAACACATTGGGGTCCATGCAGTTACAACAGTAGTACTCTCCAGTATAAGCACATACTTTTGCTTTAGAGATGGTGCTGCCCAGCAAGTCCTGGCATCCCTTACACTGATAGTTTTGATGATCAAGTCCTTGCTCTCTTGACAAAGTACCTATCTGTGATATCATCTTCTGCAACTCTTGGACAGTAAATGATGAGGACATGGTATTGGGAACTACTTCAAAATCCAGACCTTGTAACATTGGATCTTCAGGACTGACTGTTTCCACATTCAAATCACAAATATCTGTATCTTCTGAGCTTAACTTAAGTTCTTTGTGAATATCTTTCATAATATCCCTTAAGTTGGGAGTAGTTGTACAAGTTTCTCCAAAAGGATTTGAATTATCCACTAATGATGACAAACTCTTAAGTTCCGGTGTTTTTATCATACTGCTGCCATGAGATGAATTGGAATTGATTGAGGCATTCATCTCATCATTGTTGTCAGTAGACCAACCCTTACCACACAGTGAATTTCCAGTAACAACTATATCTGTAGGAGCAACAAAGTCCTCAGAGTTAACAGATGAAGGTGACACACAAGTACCATCTACTGGGTTGTGGCTGGTGGAAGGCTGTTCTATTTCAACTGGTGTTACTTTATTTTTAGACTTATCAGATTCATTTTTAGCTTCTTCTTGTGTTTTTGGTATTGGTAAATCTTCTTTTTCTTCAGGTTCATAGCTTCGACTAGTGATATCTTTAATATCTTTAGATAGAATAAAATCCAAAGCTTCATCTTCATTCAAAGCTAGCATGCGGCCAAGTCCTGTGATGCTGGAAGTATGTGTGGGTGTTGACACTATCTTGGGCTTGATTTCCTCATCTGTTATGGTACTGGCTACATCTAAAGCTGCACTGATAGGAGCTTGTCTTAATTTTGGCACCCATATGCCAGCTAACATCAAGACTTGTTCAGGCCAGTAATTAAGCAGACTAGAATTTATGGGTAAGTTAAATTGGACACATGTTTCCAGGCCTTCAACAAGTTTTTGAGCCACTTCTAATATTTCAGAATCACATACAAATGCTGATCTATTATAGAAAGGCTTCACAGCAGATATATTCTTGAGGAGAGTTGACATATATGAGGACAATAGGCACTCATTTAAAGCAATTCGCAGCCATGCACGACATTGACCTATTTCTGTATTGATTTGAGGCAATGAAGATATTTGGTCTATGTTTTGACGGTGAGACAAGACAAGGATAAGAGGCCAAAAGTTTGGCTGCGGCTGCTGGTCGGACTCACCCGTTAAAGCATTCTTAGCTTTTCTCAGAAATGTATCCTTCAAGCCGTGTAGAAAAACTGCCTCTAGCGCCATACATAATGTGTTCGTAGAGTCAGTAGAACCCAGAACGCTGTGGAAATTCTCTTCGAATTGATTGCTGTATTGAATATCTTTCACACTTTCTGACAAATTGTTTATAAGCGCTTCTTTTAGCATTGAATCTCGACTTCGGACTGTGAATCCAGATGCAACATTTTTAAAGAAAGACATTATTGCGATGTATCTAATTTAAAAACCGTTGATAAACAAACAAAATTACATTATCTTCTTCCTCTCAAATGTAAGTTTCACGGGAACCACTATTTTAATCGTCAAAAGTTTATCGTAAATAGCTGAACTACGTCGGAAATGTCATATTTTGTTGTCACTTCAACTAGTACTTTTAATATAAATAAACGTTTATTTTTCGTTTGTAGCTGATAATTATTATGTTTATTTGTAACTCCAAATATGTTTTATCACACAATAACATCAGAAATCACATCAACTTACAACTTGTCCTTGTTATGCTACTATTTTTTTTTCTGTTTATTATTGAATAAGAATTCGGATTCGTTCTCCGAAAATATGTTTTTAGACTTTAGTCGATTAATTAATTAGGATTTTACAACTATTAAAAGTTATTAATTTCGGTTTCGGGGAACAATTATTACTTATACCTAGTTCAATAAAAATTAAATTTCATTATCAGCTAAAATAATCAAATTGGACCATAAAAAAAATACTGTAATGTCAAATATGTCAAGAGAAATGTTTTTGCTTGGTTTTTTCATTCTTTTCTCTGTTAGTGTCAATGTCACTATTGGCAGTCTATAAACACTAAAATAGGAGTTTAGTGTTTGTTATTTCATAACAATTACAATTAATTTAGTGCTTAAAGATAAAATTGTCTTTAATTTATGTATTTTGTTTTCTTTTGTGTTAATCGCCATAGTAAGCTAACTTTCTAGTAGTTATCTTAAACTGTTTTTCTTAGGTATTTATATCCCAGCAGCTAAAAGGCATGTTTTATATTTTACATTTTATTGTATTACTTTCATATTTTTCGCGAAATATTTGTATATTCGCTGAGCAATTTCCACGATCTGAAAAAAATGGGCAAGGTAAAAACATATCATTTTCTGTATTGTTTTTATCTTTTGTTTACATAACAATATGATGTTTGTTATAAATTGTTGTTAATTTTTAGAATTACTTCTCTGTCGTAAATGCGGCGCTGACGTGGCAGACTCCTATTACTTGTTTAGTAAACCAAGTCCAGGGGCTAGGAAAACTGAAAAACAACATTTATTTGGACAGCAGAATGTAACTGTCCAAACTTTAATCAATCCGTTTGGCATCAAGTTTGAAGTAGTTACTGCAGAAAAAGCGAGATGTGATAATATAGGACCTGTAAGTACAAATATTTAATATGAATAATAATAATTAATACGAATATTGAATTAATATATTAGTTGTTTGCTAAAACTTGCATATTTAGAATCAGGGAGCAGACTCGTGGTTTCCTGGGTACAGCTGGAGGATATGTGCATGCCCACATTGTGGTCAGCATCTTGGTTGGACATTTGAAAAGACGGACAGTATTATAGAAAAACCTAGTGAGAATATAAAAACTTTTCATGGACTGATCTTGAGGAACATTCTAGGTGAAAATTGTAAGTACACAACAATTATTTGTCAAATGAAAAAGTAATTTAGATTTAAGTAAGTTCAACAATATTTCTTTTTTGTTTCAGTTACCGACTCTCTTATAATGATGCCCAAAATGTATAAAATGTAATATTAAGGTCACAACTTGTCCAAGATTGTGTTATCCTGTAAGTATTGTAAATGACTGTTATCTTTATACATTAATGGTTTTTCAATGTATTTAAAATTGTAAAACATTGTAAGGTTAAATATAAAACAAATATATATGAATCAAATATTTTATTTTCTTACTTCTCTGTATAACAAAAATACCGCAGTATACTTAGGATCAGCTTCAGCAATCACAAAAATAAAAAAAAATTAGTCAAACAAAATAATTGGAAACTAAAACTAACTTTGACATGTCATAAAATAATCTGAAAATGTACTTAATGACATACATTTAAACAATCTTACAACTAGTAATTAGAAAATAGACAAAGATCTTATAATACTTGCAACCTGTCATATTCAATAAACTCTATTTCTACTTAGTTTATAGGCAGCTGTTTATTGCATTTAGTTGACCATAATATTAAGTTTAAAAAGCTACAGTAAAACAACTACTGAACAAATACCTACTGTTACATAGGTAAAGTTGCCAGGTGACAAACCAATAAGATAAAGTGAGATGGGAAGGCAAAGTCAATGGCTGTAAAATGCTCTTACTGACTGCAATTACATGCAGATTATATACTACTATGTATTACCCCTGAATGCCCAGTCTTTGTCATCATATTCAATATATTTTGGTAATATTATGAAAAACAAAAGGTATCTTGCAAATAAAATCGGCTTGGACACAATATAAAATCTGTTTTATCGTTATGATTATCTCTTAGATAATTTTCTTTCAATGACTCAAGTTTTAGAAACATTTCAAAAAAATAGAATTGGAATTTGGCATGAAACTTCGCATTTTTATATTACACCTAATTTTATCGAGAGGTAGACACACTTGCAATTTGAATAACACTAAGATTTTTTTAACAGTGCTTTAACTCCTTATCTCTTAAATAAAATATAAACACACAATGAAAAATCACCAACATTTTATCAGTATATCCATAATTATGGAAATATAGCAAAACAAGCCTGCTGAAATTTCAGCTGTACTCAGTGCAATAAGTAAATGAAAACATTTTTAAGAAAAACCGTTTACCCAGGACTTTTAACAAGACCATTTTCTGGAGGTTTCAAGTTTCTTGTCAGGTTAAGTTAGGAAGTATTTATATTTTTTTTATTCAACTTAGCTTAATGATAGAATCACAATTGATATTAATTAATTTATGAACTAGCAAATCTCTGATGTAGTGACTGTCCAGTGGCAGCTGGTGTTGGAGAGAAATTGATACCAGTTGGAGCCTCACTATTTGCAGTGCTGCCATATGTTTTACCTTGAATAACAGCTATCTCTTTTTGTAGTTTAGCATTTAAGACTTGTTTATTCACAAACTTTCTCCCAACACCACGGTTACCACCACGGCCTCTGCCTCGAGAGCGGTTGGAGCCTCTACTAGTATTTGATCTGTTGGAACGGTTGGATCTGCTAGATCTGTTTGATCTATTCGATCCCATAGATTTAACACTGCCAGGACCTCTCCTTGTGTTGTAGCCACCAAACTGATTATTTAATTGTGCTAAACTGTGTTTATTTAAATAGCCAGCGTTACCAACACTATTACGACGCTTCTTAGCAAAATCATTAGCAACACTTACAGTCAGTTGGGAAGGTGAACTGAAAGAATTATTTCTGGAACGTGTGAAAGTTTGCGATTTTATAATATTGTTTCGAAGAAGCATATTTTGTCTCTCTTTTAAAATTTGATCTGATCTCAAGCCCACTGCACTATATCTGTTGCCAGTACTCAAACCTCTTCCCCGTTTTGATATTCCTCTTTTGGCTACAGCAAGAGGTCGCCGAATGTTATTCATTCCTCGCCGTGTTGTTACACCAAGTCTGCTATGAACATTGCTTTGAAGATTAGGGTTCGAATTTGCCCGCGATAGTCTTCCTCGTATACCACCTAGAATTAAAAAAAATATTTACAATACCAAAAGATAGGGTTTTCAACAAATTTTTTGTACTTTCCATATTGGTAAAGATGAACACTGATTACAGAATATCACATCTGTTGATCCCTGAAGGAGTGAGCAGGGGTCCACACAAATATCTTCTATTATAATACCTTCTCAATTATGTTTAGAGCATGTAATAGAGGGTGAGCCTTATTATACTATACACAGATCACAATTTAGAACAAACTCAAAACTCTGTTTTACCAATTCAATTATAATTTTATAATTTATCAACAATTTACATACCTCTGTTCATTCGATTGCCCCTTACAAGTTGAGGCATGGCAGACTGTTCTTCTAATCCTGCTCGGCCTTTAGGTGTCAGACCTCTCAGTTGAGAGCGAGATCTCGATGCGGATCTGGCGCGGGAGTTCGAACGACGCTGTCGGGAGCGAGAGCGATTGCGTGATTGAGAACGGGGTCGTGATTGGGACCTGCCGCCACCGGGACCACGAGAGCGGGAACGTCCACGTCTAGCTCCGGCCGGCGTATTTGATCTAGTTTGTGACCTAGCACGCGCAACCGCTCCACGCCCACGACCTCTGCCACCTCTGCCTCTACCACCGCCACGACCACGAACATTCCCGCTGCCACCTCCACCTCTTCCTCGTGATCTACTTGTTCTGTTTTGTTTTATAATTTCATCTGAAATGTAAACGTTTGTACAATATATGTATACGTGTTGACAACTTTTGCTACAGTTGGCGGGTTTTGGATTCCTCTTCTAAGATTTACATTAATACACAGTTACTGAATTGTAAATAAACGACACGACTACGTAGTATTGTTTACCGTGCGTGTTGAATACTGATGAATAAATATTGCCGTGAAATTGAAGCTTTGAAAATCTTACTAATTTCCAAAAATAGACAAGAGTGTAAATCTGCATATTAAAAAGCAAGCACATATTTACCTAAAGACATATTCACTGTATCCGCCATTGCTTACACTTTTATTAGAAAAAGTTGTATTTTCAGGATACAAATTATGTATATAAATTTCAATGCAATGAATTCTACACAAAACACGAATAGGTTAGCATTTGGACATGAAAGAAAAATGAGTGATATGATGAATGATGTGATGAGAAGATATGAACGAATGAACTGAACTAATAGAATGAATTAATGGTTAACTAAACCATAGATTAAACACGCCTAATGGCACACACAGATAATAATTCTTCAGAGTTTACTCATTTCGGTATCAGGCCAAGGAATAACAACTTTGATTACTCTGTGCTCTACTCAGCATGGGGCACATATTAGGAAAATAATTTAAACATGTCTGCCTCTGCCTATTTATACCAAACAAAACACTAATGGCTCTGAATGATATATTTTGTTTAATTTTTACCATTGTCAAAATAACTCTGTCTCTCACAGATAACACTTTCTTGTTTGTTGGCAGAGCATTTATGGCCAATTCAATAACACAAGTCACCAATTGGTTCAGAATTTTGTCTTTTGGAAATAAATGAAAACTTATTTCCGAATCTCCGTAAGTATTAAACTGAGGAACGCAACAATATTTTGCGTGTGACGCAACAATAAGTGTCTGTTTTTATTAAAAACAGGTTTCTGTATGTTTTTTTTATGGCAGTTTATTATTACCGGCGTAAACGAGCAGACGGACGGATCACCTGATGGTGAGCAATCGACGTCGCCCATGGACACATGGAACACCAGAGGCGTTACAAGTGCGTTTTCGGCCTTTTGGGGATTAGGAGTTTGAGGATCGTTGGGGATTCAGGAATTGGGGAAATTGGGGAAGGGGAGGGCCTTTCCCCAATTTCCTAAATTTAGAGAATTTAGTTCTTAAATTTTAATTACCCTTAATTGGGCCTCCGGTAACCTCACTCACACGACGAAACACAACGCAAGAGTTGCTTCACGTCGGTTTACCTGTGAGGCCGTGGTATCACTCCGGTCGAGCCGGCCCATTCGTGCCGAAGCATGGTTCTCCCACACTTTCGTATCCATTTGAATATGATCATGATGAATTTGAGATGTAAGATGTAATCGTGATCCATTTGAATGTGTATACCTACTGTAGTAGCCTCAACTCGAAAGCAAAGTGTCGTTCTCAGACAACGTCTAAATTTCGCCGCTAGAGGCGCGCGGATAATCTTTGTAAAGTTTATTTATTACAATAGTTGTTGTTTGTTGTCTAGTTGACTGATGAAGTCTAAATAATTATTATATTTTACTACTTTAAACTATTTGGAGTTCGAAATTGGGCCAAAGTGCGTTCTAAAACTGATTGGCCAACTACAACGACAGTCATTTTCTTTTCCCACGTCTCAATACAGATTTCAAGAATTTTTTCCCTCAACAAAATTTTTGGTTTAGTTAAAAGTAACGTACTTACTTATGTGCTCCAGGGAGTAGTCGGCGATCCTTATTCTCCGGATTGCCTTAATTAGCTGGCTGGAGTGAACGATGACGAGGAACAGGTTTCCTACCTCTGGCTTGCCTTCTTTGGCCGTCCAGAGTAGAGTCGCGAGAGCAGTGATTCAGTGATCCTGTTCGGAGGGTAAGAAACTATTCGTAAGTCGCAAGTGGGCCAGGGATGCAGGTTTCTGCTGTAGCGGATGATCTGAGTAGAAAGCGGTGGTAGTTTCTTAACCCTTCAGCCACTCACATTCTCGTTGCCCCTCTGTTGCTATATCTAGCAACCATTCCCGGGGCCCGGTCGATGAGTTGGCGAGTCTCCGCCTGCCATTTTGACGTGTAATACTTACATTGTTTCGGCAGGTGCCATAGTCATCCTTAGTTCCCAATTCACCAGTGCACAGCATCCCATCCATATCCCTACCTTTTTTCCATTATTCACAATAGTTCTACACTATCCGGAGACTATCCTTGGGTGCATTTCCATAGTGCATACAGGGATAGTTGCCGGTTTGTGTGTCCATTACATTTAGATTAAAGTTGTCTAAAGAGCCTCTGCGTAGTTGGCTCCGGCCCTTTGTATGCCTTCCAAATGTTTGGGACCCTGAGGTCCCGTGAATGGTAAAGCCATACATAATGTACCAATCTTTATTGTAGACTAATTTGAGACAGGATATCGAGCTACAAAATCAAAAGTATAGGGTACAAAGGCAGCCTTATCTCAAAAAGTGATATCATTACTTTACCAAGTTAGTACACCCATTCATATTGATTTATCTACTATTAATGTAAATATAAAAAGACTGAAAGAATTTTAACTTATCGTGGTTTATTAACAAAATGAAAATAGGTGGAAATAAATAACATTATATATTTTCACGTCGTATTAATTTGTACATTATGTATTTCTTCTTAAATGTAAATTATTCTTCTAAAAAAGGCAACAACGCACGTAAAAACCAATTGAGTTATAAACGAGTAACAATGCCGTTATACTGCCAAGAAATACTGTTCCTCTTGACATTTACTTACTTTCTATTCCTACTATTTTAGTACAAGTAAATTAGTTATATTTAAATTACAACAAGTAATTAGCACCGACAGGAGAGCATAGTTTAATTTATAAGTTACTACTATACATAATTTTGTTACTAATATTTGTGTTAAAATTAATATTTAATTGAGAAGAATACATGTATAGCCATTGAAATTGTGTTAAAACAAGGAATGGAAATGTATACTTCCAATCCCTTAGTTACAACATATTTATACAAGTCTGCTGGTTGTAAACTATACACCTTAGCTTAAGATTAAACTTTCTAAGGCATGCTGTGGCCTTCAAGAACCGTAGAGTGCACTGTACTGGTCCAAGCCCACGCAATAATATGCCTTTGAGAATTATCACAATAGTAACTCGTTTGGCAGTACAACGGCAAATTAATTGTTGACAAAGTTTATTCCATACATAATAATAAAAACTAATTGTAACTTCCTGTGCGAATATTCGATACACTTTCTGATTTGTTTGATAATTGACTAATTATTTAATATGTACAGACTAAAATATTATTACGATATTTAAACATATGAGCTGAGTTTGTAAAGTGAATCACAGTTTAAGTAAATGGTGTTTTAACCCGAAGGCCATAATTGTAGGCTTTTGTCATTAAGGCCATGATTTGACAGGCGATATTTAGAATTGTTATTACAATAACAGCAGTGCTAGCCAAATGCCATTTAGCGCTTGTCTACATGTAGAATAGAAAACCAAATTATATGGAATTGACGTAAATTTTGACACTTGTCAGTGTCATCCCCATACATTTTGATTTCTACTCTCTCTGTAGACAAGCGCTAAAGTGGTTTTTGGCTAGAGGCCCAGGTTTGAGTAATTAGATGACAAGGTTTTGATATCGGTATTATCAAACTTAAGTACACATTTACGGTGCTACAATTGGAGAGGTAACAATTTGTCAAGAAGCCGTGCAGATTTTGAGAAACTATTTACAAAGTTACTCTGTAACAGTATTTAAAATTGCTCAAAGAACCTGAAATTGTTTTGGTGTGTTCCGTTTAATACGAGCTCCACTTAAAAATGAGTACATCTCTCACTCTGTTCGACTGAACTCACCGCGAGTTTCTCACGTACCGAAAGTCCCAATAAATTGGCCATTTTGCTCCCATGGCAGAGCGTTTACGAAAATAGTATGTATTCTTTGTTCAGTCTGTTACGTTACATGTCAGTCCATATACTAGCCACACCCAATTCCTATTCTAAAAATATTAACACCCATAATATCACACTAGTTTCCTTCTTATACTCATTGGAATCACGTACCGATATACCACAGCAAGCTGTCTTATAAAGATTAATATTTCCTATGTATTTAAATAAAGTGAACTGCAATTAGCAAAGTTTGTTGATAGCACCAGCCTTTGTTTAGGGTTTTTAATTTTAAAAGGCTTTTTTTAATTTTGTGCTTAACACTATGGTGGGAAGAGATGAGCAATGAGCATTTTACATGTGCAGTATTGAACAGGGAGAGGTTGTGATGGAGCAGATATTAAACGGAATAGTTCTAATTTCACAGTAAAAATTTAAATGTTAAATATTTAATTGCGCGAAATACATGCACGTGTCAACTAGTACCGTACTAAATTTAAAAATATATAAAAATACGCTACAACGTATTGCTAAGTTCAAGTTTAGATAGGACACCGATCATACAAAACAATAAAAAATCATGTCAATGTTTAGAGTTTTACAATATTATCGTGCTACAGGAATGAGAGTACGTTCGATATCCACGTAAAAGTCGCACAACACTTGGCACCTTTTGAGTATTTACGCATTAACGCTACCATATCATAATATACTTAAACGTACCGGCTTTCTTCCAGAAAAAGACTACTATCTAGAGGAGGCACACACTTCAGGTCGACGAAAAGGATCTCGAAAAATATAGAAATAAATACAATCTTATTCTAAGAATATACAGTCCCACCGCGTGTGACACGGAACGGTAGAGTCTCGGTGCACAGACTGCACAGGCTACAGTCTAATATCGTTGGAGGCGGCCGCCAGCAGCGACGTGCGCCGCCACGCCGCGTCGTGCGCGTCGGCCGGCGCCGCGGGGGCGGCCGCGCCCGCGCCGCCCGCCTCCGTCGCCGGCTCCGGCTCCGTGCGACCGAACGCGCGGCACTGCACGTCCTCCTGTGCGCCGTACCGGTGTAGGCTCAGGAACTTAAGGTTGGCCACGATCGAAGAATTTATCGGTCGAGTCGGGATGTTGACGGTCGTGGCCGAGCGTTCGATGCGTTTCGTCCGTCCGTCCGGCGGCGCTAGTTCCAGCGACTGTCCCCGCCCGTATAGTCTGGACTGGCCGAAGCGGGGTGTCAGCCGTCCGATGAGATTTTCCTCCTTACGCGTAGGTCGAGGCGCCGTCTGCGTTTCCTCTGGCGGTTTTGACTTTCTCTTCAGAAAGAAGGGCGTCAGGCGCTCGGCTAGCGGACGCGACGACGTAGAACCTGCGTCGTGGACGTTAGACGTCGAGCTAGAGGTTTTCAGTGGTCGCGTTGAAGTCGCTTGACTTTTTATTGGGTTAGATTTTCGTTGAGCGCAAACTCGAGAAAATGGCCCTGCGTCACGCTTCTCTTCAGTCGGTGTGGATTCCATAGGAGTTTCGGGCGTGGGCGGCTCATCCTCGCACACCTTGAGCACGCAGTATGCGTCCCGTTGTAATTCGTCGAGTAGGCTATCGTCCGTGGAGACAGCGTCGGTCCGGCAGCAGTCGTCGGACGGCAGGCTGTGCAGGTCGGCGGCGCGCGACGCGGTGTCGGGCTCGGCGGGGCGCGGCGGGGGGCGCGCGCGGGACGTGTGCCCGCGCGGGGGCACGGC